CCGCTAGAGGTATATGCACTAGTGTTGAGTTTTAAGCCTCTAAGAATGCTAAAAAATGATTCTGCTTTGTTATCAACATGAATTTCGCATTAAAAATATAAAATTTCGCATTTAAAAACCTAGGTTTCCAATAGGAAGTGTATTTTACTCTAATGTCTTACAATATTATACTTTTATATTTCTAACGTAGTATATATTATGTAGCGCATACGGATTAGGCTTGAGGCCTCTCCAATAATGGCACCGGGGGAAATTGTCTGAAAACCGGTTTTCGGCCGATGTGATTTTATAGTGTTTAGATGTTTGGAATTGCAAACTCGTTATTATACGCCTAACGACATGAATGTATTTTATATGATTATGTATTAAACGTCCCTTAGATTAATATAATAAAGAATAAAATATACAGCTATAACCCATTAACCTACCATCAGCATTTGCTTTCTTTAAGCATATTTCGAGGCTTAAAACTCAAAACTAGTGCATATATACCTCTAATGGAATGTATGCTGGCTAAAAGAGTCATGTAAAATAAACGCGACGCGAGAAATATTAAAAAAAGTTTTTTTTTTTATACAGCGTGCTGAAATTGAACAAAAAGTGAAAACCTTCCTTGTTTCATAATTTATTTCTCAGTCCTCTTACATAATAAAGACACAAACTTCGCTTAATTTTAAAGGCAATGAAAGGTTCTACACGTGGTATTATTTTAAAAGCGATACTAAACATAGTCGAGTAAAAAAACAAAAAAAACAATCCGCAATTTAGGTCACAGTTGTTCCCGGATGCATGTTTGGGGGTTTTGCAAAGATTGGAGCGACGAATTATAAATAGTAGTTATAATTTCGTCTTACCTACTTGCATATTTATCACACTAAAAAAACTATAGACGCTCCCTTTTAAATACTTTGAGATTGAAAGTGATTTAAAACTCGTCCTTGCATATTTTTGCTAAAACAACGCACCTAGTCACCACGCACACCTCTGTGCCAAATTTCATCGCAATCTGTTGAGAAACCACATTATGCTGTCCCGAATTCAAAGGGCCAACGCTCCATCGGGGCCGCCTCGTAATTCACGCTTGGAGACTGTCGTTCCGTCGCAGTAAGCTAATTATTGTAACTTATTTACTGTTCGGGGTAATTTGTAATTGTAATTCACAAATTTGACTCGCAGTAATCGTAGCTGGAATTCAACTACTTTTCGGTTTCATGTAATCCCGAAATGTAAACTACAATTCCAACTATTCTTTCTACGATTTCATTACATGCCACGAGCCATCACCGACATGTGAAATCGCATGCCACGAGCTTTGTTCTCTACAGCATCACCGACAGGTGAAATCGCCCTTAAAAACGTCTACCTCATTTCCCTTCTGTCCACTCGTGACGCTATGAAAGCGCCGAGACGTCGGAGGGCGCCGACCGTGAACAGACACAGCTGAGCAATGGACTGTCAAAGCCATGACACCCGCAGGGGCAATGCCCCCCATAAATTAAGCGACGGAATGTAGTTACATGGTCAAGATGAGGAGAAAAGAAGCAAAATGTTGTGGCTGTAAAGCGTACCATGAGAAGAAAAAAAACATTGGCAGCGACTTTTATTTTTAAAGTCCTATAGTGCATTCGGTTTCCCCGCTAAGTTTAGCGACTAAATGAAATTGGTGTTGAGGTCACATGACGTCAATTTCCCCCGGCTACATTTCGCGCGGAAACATAATTGTTTTACAGGTCTGAATTTGCCGCTTAAATAGGCGGTAAAACTGCACTGGTGTTTGGATCACGTGACGTCAATTTTCCCGCTTAATTTAGCGGGGAAACTGCTTCGGTTTTTAGGTCACACAACACCTCTTTCTCGGCTAAAATTTAGCGGGAAAAATGCACGAACGGATGGAAGGGCAATGTTTTGGGATTGGGAGTTCGGTTGAAATGCGTTCCATGCTTTGAAATACCTGAACACGACTCCATGTCGGCAATTTTCATAATATTTAGAGTCTCCGTTGGGTTTGTTCGGTGCCTATTTACGCTCATAGCTTACTTTTACTTTTAACTGAGGCGATAGAGCGTAAAACTCAGATTTCTGGTGAGACTGATTCATATCACACTCAAAGCTCAGCTCACTGTCGTACCGGTAAGGAAGTAGGTGAAACAAAGGCACCCGATGTGACAAACGTCAAATCCCTTACAATGAATCTTCAACGGTCAGACATGCTAATGGACAAATGCATTTCAGTGCTTAAACGCCACTGTCAAGCGAACATCTTTAAAGTTGAATATATCTCTGAGAAAATTGATTGCGAAGTAGTTTCATTACTTTCTGCAATTAATTTATAATTGTAATTTAATAATTTTAAAGCAAAAGTGATCTTTTCATTTGAAGTCAAACAGGCGTGTCGGGTGGGTGTTTTTATTTGCCCGTCAAATCAGTATAGTATATGTAATAGCCCCACTTCCGTAATGAACAAACCGCTCTTCAAAATTTAGGTCACTTGATTTGTGTACCCAGTTCCGTCGGTCAATATAAAAAAAGGTAAAAACGACAACACTCACAGTAAAATTTTATAGATAAACGGTAGATTTTTTTTTTCACTTTAAAGTAAACTTTTCTAGGATTTCTTAGACTAGAAATGAACAATGCCAAACACCACGCCTTTGACGTTTTGATGAAAGTATTGCCATCTTTCTGGCACATTCCGTGGAATAAAAGTTTTTATTCTTTATTCGTGAGAGCGCCTATATAGGTATTATAGCAAGGGGGCACAATGCATTAAAACAAAGATCCACGTACGGCCTCGCGGAACACCACATCCGCCGGTAATGAATTACATTCTGCGATGGTTAATACAAAAAAGTGTTTGATAATGTTGGCCTCGCAGCCATTGGATTCCTTAATAAAGTTTATTCCCTCTCTCTCTCATAATTTTGTCCTGGAGAGATACGGCTGAACCTTATAACAATGGTCTGTACGAGCAGAACGGTAAGATGATGAATGCAGGAACTTTGCAGCACAAATTCCTGTTTGATTAAGATAAATCGAATAAAACAATTTGAGGCGCAGCCTTTTACGCCGTTCGTTAAAATGCACCCATCCAAGCTCCTTTTTCATTTCAGTTGTGCTACTGAAATGATCGTATCTACCCAGGACGAAGTCATAGAGTGCCCGGTCAAAGATGTAGAGCGCGAGGATCTGGTAGCACAGGGCATCAAAGAGCCATTTCTCGGGGAAATTGGACGACTGCGCTAAGCTTTTGCAGCGGCGAGGACCCGAAACACACTTGTTTGCTCGGAAGAAGTGTGTTTCGGCGTCTCGCCGTAGCGGGGCGCCAGTCACTTGGCTCCTTCTCTCATCCGTTGTCTGCCGCTCCACTTTTTCCATTTTTTCGAAGGGACGGGAAAATGTTATATCTAGAATATCTAATTTCCGCGATAAGCATTTTATATTGAATGACGCGCAATTCGGTTTCCGGAAACATCGGTCAACAGAACTCGCCCTATTAGAACAGAAATAATTTATCCTAAATTATTTCGAAGACAAAACATTATCGCTCGCAATTTTTTGCGGATTTCACAAATGCTTTTGATTATTAGAATCGTGGCTTGCTATCAAAAAAGCTGGAAATTTATGGTTTTCGCGGAAACGCTTTACCGCTCTTAACATGGTATCTACGTAGTCGTAAGCAATTTGTACAACTGGATGGTCACTCCTCCGATATGAAACCAATTTCACTAGGTGTGCTGCAAGAAAATATCCTGGGTCCGTTTTTATTTAACACATACTTGAACGATATAGTATAGACATTCATAACGTCGCAAAATTTTGTTATTTCTGAAGATGATAATACATTTTTGTTTTTCGCAAATTGTCCCCCTGAACTAATTTCCCAAGAAAATGTTACCCTCGTAAAATTGGAAGGATGGACTCTGAGTAAAGCGCTAAAAATAAATACAAGTAAAACTAAAGCCGTCCTATTCCGTCCCCCAAAAAAATAAAAATATATGAGTTTATGAAGATATTAATGTGCTCGATTCAAAAAATAGAATTAGTCAGCGCCTTCAAAACCCTTGACGTATTCTTCACGGAACGGATGACTTGGGAAGAACATATTAACTACGTCGTGTCGAAATATTCGAGTATCGTAGGTATAACTGATATTCATCGACAGATTTTACCTACTACGGTCAAACTTCTCGTACACAACACGTTATTATTTTCGCGTACAAATTACTGTTATCTAGTATGGGGAAACGCGACCCTTCTAAATTTGCAGAAACTTTACGTACTGCATAAGAAAACACAAAGAAATATAGAAAACGTTCTGAATGATCATCTCCTGCACCACTTTTTCAGAGACATGGCATAATGAACATACATAACATGCATGCATTTCGTTTAAGTATAATCTATAAACAGGAAGCAGACGCAACACGAATCTTCTTACTAAGTTTATGCAAAAGAACAATCACAATATCCCACACGTATCATTGACATATTGAACATTTATTCGTGTAGTACGAGCTATGGGGAGCAAATGATGAAACACAAACATCCAGAATAGCTCAATTTCTGTATTAACTGCAATATATACAACTGGAATCTGCATTAAAAAAAAAGTAAAGTTTTTCATTTCTAACACGAGTATTAAGTCATGAGTATCGAAGTGCTATGATTGTGAAGTGTTTATATATGTGAGTCTCATAAAAAAACAACCTTGTTAATTGGAATGATTGATACAGTGTGTTTCTGCGCGATGTGCTGTAGTGTCTGCCTTTTTTGCTTTTTATATTGTATAATTTCTCGGGAGGGGGGAGAGCTCGTGAAGCTGATTTCTTCAGCTTTTCCCCCCAACCTTCCACATCGCTCGGATGGGAAATAAAGACATTATTTATTATTATTAATATTAAAGACGACGACCGCCGCGACAATGCACTTTTGGCGCTGCATGTTTAACTGCATATAAAATGAAACATAAAAAAAAAAAAGAAAAAACGCCGTCCGCTTACTTTTAAAACGGCACTGGTGTCGTTGCCGCCCGCGCTCGGCAGGGGGCAGTCGCTTGGCACGGTGTTCTCCTGGACGGCGGTGTGGTTCACCATGGCCACCAGCGCCACGTTCAGGTTCACCCGCATGCCGTACACGTTGGCGAGGCCGAAGAACCCCAGGATGATGAGCACGTAGCGGTACTGGACGCAGCCGCCTGCAATTGCGCGCACCAACTCAACCCTTTGACGCCATGAAGCTGCCGGGTGGCGCTGCCGTCGGTACTGCGCATGCGCTTTATCTCGCGCGAATCTGGTTTCTGCTCAAACGCGGGCTTATGTTTGAAAACGCCTTGTTGGTCACGTCCTCCTCGGGTGAGGACGTGGCGTGGGCCGGGCTACTATACCCGTTTTCACATCAAGAAAAAAGCAAGTTTTGCGCAATGTTCATACGCGGCGCGAAGTAGTTCCTACGAGATTTGGTTGTCAGGGGAAAAAGCGATACTTTCAGCGTTCGAAACGCTTACGTCTTGGTAAGATAGCATATATGCAATCTAAAATTCATCTACATCGATCTTAATTATCAAGATAAAGAGGGAAATTAGTAACGCTCCGCCTGGAGCCGGACTTTTTTTACTACGGTTCTTGAGGTGAAAACAAGTATAGATTAGCACAGTTAGTAGTTACGGACAACGAGAAGTATTTTAACGGATTTTAATTTGAAGGCTGTCTGGTTTAACTGTGCTCGAGTGTGTTGCGTTCACTTGTAACCACTCACGACGAGAGAAAAGACTGGCCCACTAGTGCCATCTGTAGATCAATTAATCCTGGAGCACTGCCCATCTGCGTATCGTTGCTAGGTGCCTGCAGCGCGTCTCCGACTGGTTTGTTTGGCGCCCTATGCTGCCCATACATCAAAAGTGGTCCCGAAGTTGCAACAGACGATGTCACAGAAGTTAGGGTGTCATGCTGTCGGATGTCGCGATCCTGGCGGTTGGTCGTAGAAATGCTGGCGAAAAGCACGAACGAACGCGAGTGTCGCTGTCGTCGTCGCGGCGTCTCAACTTCTGGCTGCCGAAGCTTCCGTGCATTGCCACACTGGAGAGCGACCTGCAGCAGAACAGGCGCCCGCCACATACAGCAACGCTGCTGGGACACCGCCAGGATCGCGACCGGCGACAGCGTGGCACGTCTATGACGTCACAACGCAAAAATCGAAAGACCATTTCTTTTTCTTTTTTTTATGCGGTAAACACACTGGTCGGAGACGCTGAGGTTTTTGGCAGTATTTGCGAGGACAAGTCTAAACAACACCACCGACAAATGGACGCTTACAACGTTGTACGAATCATTCTGGAACACACGGTGAAAGAATGACGGGCAATCAAGTATAAAAATATCTACGCAGGTTGAACGTGTGTCAGGGCTACCGATGGATGGCGCCAGTCAGTGTTGGACAAAATACTCGATAAAAGTATTTAAGTTAAGTTACTAAATACCTGCTTCATAAAGTATTTAAAATACTACTCAAGTTACTTTCACTGTAAAGTATCTTGAGTAGAGTACAAATGCTTAGAAATGTATTTCAATTACTTCTGAAGATACTTCCGCATTGCGTAATTTGTATCGACGTCAGTGACAACGACAATTATACAGACGCGCAAATCTGGGTTACCAGAATGGTTTATTAGCACGCAACAACACAAAACGGAAAAAGAAAAAAAAAGTATCGTATAGGGCTATTTTATGCAGTCCAACTATAAGGAGCAGGATATTGCCACGAATGACAAATGATGAGGTGGCGAATAACTGAAGAAACTGAACGTTTAATGGGGTGAACTTGTTCCCAAAATAAAATAGAAAAAGGCTAGCGTCGCAGGCGTTGATGTCGGCGAAACAGCAGGATCGAGCGCTGGGGCGAGACTCACTCCGGAGTCCAAAGTTCGGCGCGTAGAACATTTGTAACTCGATCAGACGAGAATGTTCTCAAACTTACGAGAATGCCAAGTTGAAAGAATAAATAAAAAAGGAGTCCGCTCCCTGGTATCGAACTCGGAGCCTCCGCGCGAGAACCAAGCGCGCTAACCATGCGGCCACGCGCTCGCTTGGCAATGCGGTGGCAATATCACTGATAGATGTCACAAAACATTTCTGGGGCAACAAGAAAGAGGACGCTTTAGCTATTGGGGAGGAGATCAAACCGTGGCGCCCCAAGCGGTTAATTTTATAACTACATGGATGGGGACAACAAATACAATGACTCAGCGCTAACGCGGCGTCAGCGTTCGGCTGAAGTTCGTGCTTCCGGTGAGGGGGTGGAGGGGCTCTTTTGTTACCACTCCGGCCTGCATGAACAATGCAGCATGCACCGTGCCCAGCTCAGCACAAAAGCCCAAGTGGGTCAAGCTCGCATCCTCTGACGACTGCTTTCGGGAGAGATCCGGCACTGAATGCCACTTCACTAATTGTTGGTATTTTTACATTACACTGTGCCCCGCGCTCTATATGAACATGCCCACAAGGCCCGTAGGCCAATGCACAGGCCTTGTGCTGGGTAAACACCGAGGTGTGGGGGTGACAAACGGGTCAGAGCGCCTCGCCAATAGTGACATCGCTGAATATCACGTCCTGCGGCGCACCTTAGACGCATCGTTTAACTACAATCCGTATTCCCCATATGGGGAGTTCACTATAAACGAACTTGGGATATGGGTATGAGTGAATGGATAACAAAGAAAACCCACATAATAGCCACGGCAGTGGTCTCACCTTCTTCAAGTAGGTTGCGTTCAGGGAGGCACTCAACGTTGGGGGAGACTTTGTTGGCATTTTGAGAGGTCATCCAGCTCGCAATTCATTTCCTGAACTGTTTTCTGCTTATCAGTGTTCGCGAGAGCAATATGTGATGGACTGACGACAAAAAGAAAAGAAACAAAAGAAAACCTCGACGTTTTGCCCTAGCGGGGTCAAATATACAAAAAGCTAAACAAAAATATATTTGTGTGTGTGTGTGTATGTGTGTGTGTGTGTCCACTTCTCATTTTCTTCTATTTGTTATTTTCTTGACACTCAAGTCTGCAATGTTGTCGTAGGTCATTTCCCGGTCTGCGTTGCGCCTCAGGGTGGCATCTTTATGTCCGCAAAACCACACCTTTTGTTTGAGATTTTTTGGGGGAAACTATGGAAACAAAAAACGCCTTTGGGAAGGCGAGGGGAAAGCCTTCATTGTACGAACTTTGTGCTGTATTATGAGTCACAATCGGCAAAAAAACGATGTTTTTACGAGCTCAATCAAAGTCACCGTAGCTAATCGGAGCTAGCAACAGGATTTGATTGCTCGAAATAATGTTCACGTCGGCTCATGCCACGCCCACGTCACGTCATACCGAAAAACTCGGAAAATGGCGGAATGTCTAAAATATATTTAAGATAATGAGTACAAGATACTCGGAATTGTAATTAAAATAGAGTATCAAATACTCTCGATCAAAAGTATTTGCAAGATACCAAGATACTTCAAAACGTATGTGAAATACCGTATCTTGAGTAGAGCATTTGAGATAGGCACAAGTCTGGCGCCAGTGTGCGACCAATCACGGCCTCGCGTGAAAGCACGGTGAGGCCTTCGCATCGTGATGACAATAAAAAAAAACTTCGTCCCGTTTCTTCGCGTCGAATGAGTGATTCCACGGAATCCGAACTTATCATATATATACAAGGAGGGCCGCATGTATACCTAACGCACTTTAAATTTTCGTCAAATTCGGGTGGGGTTTTTAGGAGTTTATTTTTTGCCGAAGATCCCGAGTTTATATTTGTTTGATTCCCAATTCTCCGAAATTCGGTGTTTAATTTCTCAGCGTTTCCTATTAAAAATAAATAAATAAATAAATATTAACCGGATGTAAACATATGCAAGATAAAAAATGAAACGCGTTTTTATCAATTAAAGTTTCTTCCGTTGAATTTGGCGCTGGTGCCATTGCCACTGGCCATACTAATTTGTCCCACGACGAAAGTCGCACAGAAGTGTTGATTCGATAAACGTCGGTACTTTAAATTCAATAAACTCCCGAAGTATTTGCTAGAAAGCTCGAAGTCATCCCATCCTATTCCATCAATCTAGCCCGCCGCCGCGCGAGATGGAGTACTGGTTAAGGATGTATAATAGAGAAGTTTCCACTGCCCTCTTCCCTATTTTATACAGTCTCTATGGTCCATAGCTGTCACTGCTATGAAAACATACCCTCTCCTTTCTCAAAATCATAAATCTCATGGCCCAAATTGGAAACCAAAGGAGTGGCTTTTGTAGTGACCTGAATGTACAATGACCTGTTGCCCTGAATCAACCTTGACGGGACAAGCGGTAGGACCCCTTTTGACAACGGTCCGAGATTTGGAAGATAATTCTGGTGGCATTTTCCCAAAACCATTGACCTAATTAAATTGTAAAAACAAAATTTTTTTTTTCCTTTGTGTGTGTTTACGGGGTGGGGGGGGGGGGGGGGGGGGGGGTGGCATTGGCACATAAAAATTTGGAGTTTATCGGATAAATCCGAATTAACTCAAATTTTACCGGCGGGTCTTTTCGGAGTTTTTCTGATTTATCCGACACCAGGGAACCCTACAATGAAATAAATGTTGGGGCGCAAACGAGCTGGTGTACATTAAACATAATCCAAAAACTCCGAGACTTAAATTTTAGACTTTTGAGTCCGTGTGTCGTTACCTGCAGTCTCGGGGTTTTTGAACCCTACAAGTTATTATACACTCTATAATCGACGCCCTCGTACACGTTAAGTCTAGACGCAGCCGACGCTGGTAATGGGACCAATCAAGCAGCCGCAAAAGCTCGAGTCACTAGGCCTTTTTTGTTTACGATCGGTTCAGCGATGATAGAACACGTACAGAAACTAGAAAACACTCTGATGGTCAGTGGCGTACCAACTTCTTTTTTAATGTGTGTGTGTGTGTGGGGGGGGGGGGGGGGGCAAAGCAGACCCCCCCCCCCCCCTCTTGGTATCCCTTGGGCGCCGCCGGCCAGTGCCCCTCTTGCCCCTCTTGCCCCCCCGGTTGGTATACGCCCATGATGATGGCGCCTTTAAGTTTTTGACGCTGTCCGTTTGGTACCATCAACTCGTACAGCGTCGGCCGCGTCTAAATTTAAGCGCGAAGGAACTATATAGTAAGCGGTATAAATAGCAGATGCTGCTCGGAGGCGATAGATTCGCCAGGTTGTCAGTGTGTGACCACCATGGACGGATGTTCACAACAAAACACACACGGACTTTTTCTTTTCGGATGGCGCAGTGTTAAGCGGTGCGCATTTGCAGTTTTCGCGAATGAAATGATGGTAGAGTAGGAAATTTGCGAACTGCTGCTTTGGTTACGATATCACATTAATGACGTCTAAGCGTTCGAACCACGGCATTAATTTTTACCTCTGCTGGCACAAAACTAAAGCAGTGCCGTCGTGCGAATGCATTACTCTTAGCGTCGTCAGTTCTTAGTGAATGGTGTCGTTCTGAAAGGTAGTCAGTTAGAAATTGGATAAACATGCCTCAAGCCTGAACGCTTTAATGTATGTGTAAATAACCTGTGGTCAATTGGTTCAAATAACGCTACTTTCTTTGTGTAACCCATCTTTTTTTTTTTTGTGTGTGTGTGTGTGTGGGGGGGGGGGGGGGGGGGGAAGAGATATTTGGTCCAAGCGTTTCATAAGAAAATAACTCTCGGACCTCCTGGACTATTTTCAAAGCTTGGCAGAACAAATTGTGTCAATGACTAGACAAACGTTTGGTAAGAAAAACGAAATTTTTTTGTTGTTAAATTTCTCGCTAAAATGAATGATGCAGAAAAACAATAATTAATTGGTTGGCAAAGCGTTAAATTCGCGCATTCCAACTGCGTTTGCTACCGGACGGAATGCACATTTTGTGAGAACATTAAAACTCGTGTGCCGGGTTTCTATGACACTTCAACAATTGTTGGCGTAGCTTACCTTTCTCCGAGTTTTGGCCATCCTTGGCTCCAACTGCAGAAGGCAAGTCGACTCCGGCACAAGTGTCTTTTCCCAGCACAGCGATCGTCATGTCGGCTGAGACGCTACTGTAGCAGATGGGGCAGTTGAACTTTGTCTAGCAGACGACACTGGAAAGGGGAAAGCAGATTTTTTTTATTTTTTATTTCTATGCTCGCGAACATCCGTTGTTCATTTCGTCAAGCGGCGAACAGAGTGGCAGCAATGGACGATCCTATTTATTCGTTCGCTTTTTCTGCAGCAACCGGGGCTTTTGTACGTCGTGCGGCTTGCTCATCGTCGGCCTTCATCCACGCTTCTTTCATTTCAAGTTTAGTTTCTGGTTTTATAGGGGTCGGTTTCACTTGAATTCAAATAGTGAGGCACACTCGTGTTTCCTTTTTATATATATATGTAGCCCATAAAGTAAAAGCTCAATGCTTTACAGAATAAATAATAATAAAATACCAAAAGTTGGACTGTTTTATTTTTTTTTTTTCTTCCGCTGACTGATCTTTGTATTTTGTTTGAAGAACAGTCGATTTCAACTTTCAAGCTAGTCGACACAATCAGATTAAATTTGTTAACGCAAAATTTTGTCTAGAATTGTGTAATAAACACATAAATTCACCCAAAACAGCATTGTTTTGTGAAGTATCTACATATGATATTATGATTGGAATTTGCAACTACATCAGATAGACGCCATTCCTTCAAGCGCGGCATCAAATTAATTATTTCAGTTCTTCTAGACATTAAAAAAAATTCTGACAGTAATCCTGGAGCGAAAAAAGGACGGACAAACACGAAATTCCGACATCGAAGTTTCGTGTCAGTCCGTCCTTTTTTGTCCAATGTTGAACGAATTGGCAGTTTGCATTTTTTATATTGTTTATGCAAGCCCAAAGAACCAAAAACGCGTCACCTTTCCCTGAAAATACTGCTATTCTGCTGCGTAATCGCAAAGCAAAAAACGAAATATTTGCCGATCTGCAGCCGCCTGTGGCGGATACGAGAACTAAAGTGACAGCGTCTCTGGGGGATACGCGGAGATCAACAAACCCTGTCCCCCTCCGCTGCTACACTCGCTGTCAGCCCCGTGGCGAACCGTCCTTTGTGTCGATCGATCGCCGTGACCTTCGACGATACTAATCCTTTAAAAGTCGACAATCGCGGAGAAAGCGGCTGGGATCTTTGAACGAAGGACCCAAGAGGAAACCACGTGATCCCCCAGAGTACGTCACTCGAAAGTCGACGTGAAGAGAGGAACTTTGACCTTCGATTTGTTTCATTTTTTTTTTTTTAGATAAGAACTAGCGCTCGCAACAAAACAAATGGTTTTCTGTTTTTCGTTTTATATGTGACGCAGATTAATTTCCGCAGTTAATTGGCCAAAGTCTGAAAGCTTTATCTGAAATAACAGGAAACGCTTTTCCGCCCTCCACAAATGTTTAAACAGTTCGCGACAGAGGAAAGCAATATTACATTACCTTCCCAACACCGAATCTAATGCTGAGGATATCGTACTTTTGAATCATGACGATCGGCAGTTGCGTCTGCTCTGCATACGAATCAAAATGGCTGCGCCCACAACAATTTCGGGGAACGGAGTGCCGATACTCTAAGCGCAACTCATTTAGTGGCCGATACTCTAAGCGCAACTCATTTAGCCCATACCTAGGAATAACGCCTTCCTGCGTACACACCATTCTGAGATTTGAAAACAAATATCTTTGTAGAGCATCGCAAAATCTTGTTTTTTCCCGAAGTTTTTACCAAGTTTTTTTTTTTTTTTTTTTTTCCAACATTTGGTTTGGTATGTGTATATGAAAAAAATCCAGTTATTGAACTACTAGAAAAAAACGCCAGGCAGTAGTTATAAAGCGTGACTAAAAAGGAAGCAGCTGTGTCACCAAACGCGTCGCAGCTGTGCAAAAGGAACGTGTCGCCATTCGCACACACGTGCATTTAAGTGACGTGTTTCGAAAACCGGAGCAAAACCGTAACCGAAATCAAGCTTTGATTAGAAATTCCAACCCCCTTTCAAAAGTCAAGTGCCGATCATTAGAAGGTGGGAACCTCTGCACTATGGCGGAACAACAGACATTGTTGAACGTGCAAGTCATTCCTTACTCTAGCGAACGTCCGAGTGCGGTCAACGCCAGGAGCTGACGGACCAATCAAACAGCGTCGAAACTGCAGCGTCACTGCGCTCATCACCACCGGTGTACCTCGTGTGTGTACATATTTGTGTGTGTGTGTGTGTGTCATGCGCTTTTTTTTATTATTTTTCTTGCTGCAAAGCAATATTTTTTTTTAAGAGGAAAAGCAAACATAGACATCAAAGTAAAAACAAAGAGTCGACAGCTGTCGGGTTGTTTGTTCCGCGGTGGCAATATCCGGAGGTGCTGGACGCTGGTGGAAGAACTTTTTGCGTGTGTACTTTTTCTAAAGGCAACAAGTCGCCTTTTTTTTCTATCTACATTTTTGTTTTAATTATCTTTAGTCTGCTCTGCTGCTTTCCACTTTTCTACACTCCCTCCTTTGGCCGAGAGCCACTAAATGAGTATATCAGCACTCCGTTCCCCGACATGTTGTGGGCGCCGCCATTTTGGCTCGTATGCAGAGCAGACGCAACTGCCGATTGCCGTGATTCAAAAGAGCGTCTTCCTCAGGATTAGATTTGGTGTCAGGGAAGGTCACGTAATATTGCTTTGCTCTGTCGCGAACTCTTTAAACATTTGTGGAGGGCGGAAAAACGTTTCCTGCAATTTCAGATAAAGCTTCAGATAACTGACAACCATGATTTTAAGATACACGCAATATGGCCAAGTGTCGTTACTCTGAAGCGTAGCTTGTTTAGTGGCACTGGTTAGTACAATATTTTGGTTCTGTTTCTGAGCATTTATATAACCACTTATTTTGCGGGAAATGGTGCTTCCGAAAAAAAGTCGGGATCGCAACATAAAATTAATCGTGCATTTGTTTTGCTGCCCTCGTTTCCGTAGCACGGCTTGTAGTGACCTTTTCTTTTAATGAAGATGACGTCGTGACTTTTTCTTGGCAATGCAGTGGAGAGGAGGAGAGCCCGCGCACAGCCATTGGCACAGCTTTATTCAGCGCTCAAAATGGGAGAGGGAACGAGTGCCTGTACCCTCCACTGCATTGCCAAGAAAAGTTGTCGCCGAGTTTAGTAGAAGTGGTCAGGACGAGCGCTGACTAGCAACCAAGGTTACTAACAACTGACGTTTTAATACGCAAAAATGAGAAAGAGGATAAAGAAAAATGTAAGGGGGAGATATAAAAGGAAGCAAACGAGGAGGAAGAGGAAAGAGCTGTGTGTCTGGAATAGAAATTACTATAAATATATGCAAGTTAAAATAAATGTTGCTCAACTTTTTATGTAAAAGAAAGGAAAAAAGAAGAAGATTAAAAAATAAACTGGCAAACAAGTAAAAGAATTAAAAAAAAAAATTTAAAACTAAAATGTCAGGGTTTCAATTCACGCTCCGAAAGTGGTTGGGCAGCCAAGCCAAGCCACCTGCAACGATTTTGCCCTCACTGCACTATAGACCCTTTTCATGGCAAACGCCGGCAGGCGGTGCTCCAGTTCTTGACGTTTTCGAAGGTTTTTTTAAATGGGGGTCTATGAGCGATTGTACTCTTTTTTTAAACCGAAAATTACACCATTATACAGCACGGATTTCTCAAAGGCAGATCTGTTGAATCAAACTTGAGTGCTTTCGTCGGCCATAGTGGACCACCGTATAAAACAGCGGTCAGGTGGATACAATTTATTTTGATATGAGTCATATGACTCAGGCTTTTGACAAAGTTGTCCACCGGATACTTTTGCTTAAACTGAAGGAATAAGGACTATGCCCACGGTATTGCGCTTGGTTTGACGGTTACATTGAAAGTCGTCGAAGTCGGGTTAAATTTTTTTAACTGTCTGTCTGAATCATACGCATCTTTATCTGGAGTTCCGCAGGGTTCTAACCTGGGACCACTTTTGTTTTTAGTGCTTATTAACAATTTACCGTCCTGGATTAAAAACTCAAAGGTGCTCATGTTCGCTGACGACTTAAAACTGCTCCGCAAGGTTGAAAATATTAGTGATTGCATACATATCCAATATGATATCCGCTCCCTTGAACAATGGTGCTTGACAAACAGACTCCTACTGAACCCCAAAAAGTCAGTATAGTGATGTCCCTGACTAGGAAGAGAGAGAGCGTACTGTGTGATTGCACCCTTTTTGAAGAACAGGTGCTGCGAGTGTTGCACGCGCGTGACCTTGGTGTGATTGTAGACTCGAGATTAGATTTTCGTTTACACGTTTCTCGTATTGTTAGTCATGGTCTCCGCCGCCTTGGCATCATTTCACGTTTGCCAAGGAAGTTTCGTTTTCCTGAGTGTCTGTTAGCCTTGTACTGTGCACTTGTTAGATCGCGCCTTGAGTTCGCATCCGTAATATGGAACTCTATTGCGATGTCACACAGGAATTTAATTGAAAACGTTCAGCGTATATTTATACGAATTTTATATGATCTAGGCACATTAGCCGCCGCCGCTATCATGGCTACAACTCTCTTTTGGTGGACCTCACTTTTTTATCTCTGCATGATAGAAAAATTTATTTATTTATTTATTTCAACACCTTCAAAGCCACACGGCACTTGGGAGAAAAACAAATGTACAAAAAATAGAATTCAACACATATTAGTTAACATAATAGTTTTCAATGACAGACTTGAATGCAGGAGCGCCTGTGATTGTGGCGATGGAGGTGGGCAGGGTGTTCCAGTCATTAGTAGTTCTTGGGATAAAAGAATCAAAAAAGAGCTTCGTGCGACTGAAAGGAACGTTGACTTTATGGTGATGATCATTTGGATGGGATACATACGATGGTTCAGAAAAAAGCTCTTCACTTAGATGCTGGTCGTGATGATAAATTTTGTGAAATAAGGACAAACGATATAACTTTCTACGCAATGAAAGATTCGGAAGATTTAAAGTTAGTTTCATGGATGATACACTGGAAAAACGTGAGAAATTAGACAAAATAAAACG